ATAACACACAAAGCTGTCACAGAGCTTGTTATGATCTTTTCATTTAATGAAAAATAATATTGCCCAGATCAACAAAGACATATTCTTTGGTTCATGTTTTGCTTTGCACTGTCTCTTGCTATTAGCAAGATAATAATTCATAGCAAATTCACAGTCATAGAATTTTGTGTTAACACTGACCTCCTCTCCCTCCTTAATATTTACCTCCTGAAATATTTACTGACTGCAATAGTATCTCCTCTCAGCCTTTATTTTTTTAGGTGAAAAAAGTTAAGCACTTACATTCTCTTGCACAAGATAGGTTTTTAATGTCCCTTTCTATCTTCACAGCCTCTCCATACACCTGTTGCAGAAGGAGAAAATTTTTCTGGGATGTTAATAAGGCCTATCATAAATGAGGTTTTAAAAAAAAATTACACTAAAACATTATTTTTCTCTCTTACTCTGGAAAACACTTTGCTTCCCACCTTAAGATTGCAAATTTTTGGGTTTTTTCTGAGCGCCAGAGCAGGGCTCAGAGTTAATCTATCATCCACAAATCTGTTTGTATCTTTTTATTCTTCCACTTTTACTTCCAGTGGATGACTTCCCAACTTGTAGCAAAACCTTCCAGTTTGCAAGTGCAAATACCTGTACCTCAACTAGACATTAGGAAACGATTAAAGGAAATTGAGGTTTCTGTGATTCATGGCTGTGAACACTTTTCTCAGCTTTTTTCTAACTTTGTCGATGTCCAGTCCCTTACGGAATCTTCTTCCTCAATGCAGTTTCCAGCTATCAAAATCAGATTCACCATCTGCCAAGCTAGGGAACTGGAAAGTGACCTCTCAAGGACAACATGCAGAAACACTCCAGGGTCATCCAATTACCCCACTGGAGTTCCCAGATGGCTTTCTGTGGGGTGTCCTGGGGATAGTTTGGTTCATAGACTGTACATTCCTGGTAACACCAGGAAGAGGGCAAATTTGAGGGCACACTGTTCCTACCACCGTCCTTCATAAAGTGACCAAGAAGTAACTGGGAGAGACCTTTTTGTGTTTGCCATGGAAGGTGGAGTTTGGAGGTGATGTTGGCACTGTGAGCAGCTACTTTCCTTTCAAACACCAACAGAGAAGCTCTCAGTACTTTGCTGATGTGCAATTGTAATTGCCTGCACGTCACATTACGTGTATGTAACCTGGGAATGTCTGAAGTTCTTGATTTTCCATACTTCATGCCTCAAACTCCAGAATCAGATAATCTATCTCCTGCTTAAACCTTCCTGAAATTCAAACCTTTCTCTGAAACTGAGCAGAAACCTAATGAGTCTTGATACAGTTATCAAACAGAGATCAGCTGGACCAAAATAGAAGATACTGTGATTTTCTTCCAAGCAAAGCTGATTATTAAATCTACAAATTGTCCTCAGACACTCAAGCACAAGGAAATCGTCCATGTTTCTTATCAATTCAAACAGAATTAAGCAACACCACAGGTATTTTCAGTTTTATATTATGAACATTTTTCAAACAATCGCCATTATTATTTATAACATGTCTGCATTTTGTCATCTCCTAATGTCACTTGCCCCATTTTATATTTCTACACTCTAACACCTGTGCTGCACATTAGGGTGAGAAGAGTATTCACTGTGGATCATTCTTTCAATTCCAAATAATCCTGCTGATATGCGTGACCCTGTCTTGAATCATTTGGTACAGTCCTTTGAAATAGCTCACACAAGTATGTGTGTGTAAAGAGGAAGAGAAAAAAAGGGAAGTCAAGGAAAAGGAGGAAGAAGAGAGCAGATCTAAAGATCAAGACACATCTGACAACCTTTTGTGAGCATTACTGAAAAATGAATGTGCACTGGACTAACCACACATGGCCAGTGAATACTGTAAGGTCTTGCAAGATATTGTAGTAACAGCTTTGGATCAACTGCAATATAATTATCTAAATGCAAAATGGTATTTTGATTTTCAACATATTTTTCTGTGGCTGCTGTTCATGCCACTTAACATGAATTTCACCTTATTTTGCAACTTTTGAAAGTGTTGGGTGTCCTTAGAAGTCTGAAATAATGAAAAAGCCAGTAATCATATGGCTGTTAAAATAACAGTATATTGAGAAAGAGGTAAAGGAAAATAACTCTCTTTCTTCCCTGAGGACACTAGGCACAGATGAGGTGTGCCACAGGTGTCAGTTTAGCTCCTGTGCTTATATCCATTGACTGCTGCTTGGGAAAGACCTATATGCATGTAGCATTGATACAGAGCAAGTCACCGCCTGCTTATTGGCACAGAGGAAGGAAGAACATGAGCAAAGTTTGCAATCACTATGGAAACTGACTCTCTGGTTGCTGTGTTGGCACATCTGTCAGGGACAGCAGCTGTTCTAGAGGATTCTTTCCAGCACAGCTTTTCCTGAGACTTGTATCTGGGACTGGGCCCAGGACTGCAGGTTTCAACAAGAATCCAAAAGTCTGCACAAGCACAATTTTATTCTTCACTTTGACCTTGTAGGGCAACTCTGTTTTCAGTGTTTAGAAAACTTGCAGAGTGAAACACCGGGAGAGGTGACATGCAGATCCTTTCCACCGTGTGCTTCACAGCCTAGGTATTGAATCAAATGAAGAGAGAGTCCAGCTAGGAGGTAATGGAGAGCTTGGTTCTCCTTCAGCCTGATGTGTGGCCCCTTAAAAACCTATGACTTCTTAATTTGAAGTTTGGGCACAAATTATTTTTATAGCATGTTTTTTTTTTTCTTATGTGTGGCTACTCTTTTTATTATCACATCAAAGTACTTTCTGTCATCAGCCTCAGCAGAATCGTTCTGCATGAAAGAGGAGGACAGGGTGTCTGGGGATGGCACCAACCTAAGGAATCCAGCCACCAGCAAAGGCATGGATAGTCTTAGGGCTGACTCATGAAGGCAGATTGGAATTTTCATAAACCAGAGCCTCTTGTTAAGATAATATTTGTCTTTAGATAGGCAAGTCAATCTGAAGCTAGTTTTGTTACATTTGGAATATGTTACCTTTGGTAAATTAGTGTTTAGAACACTGCACAGACATGTTGAAAGGAAGATACATTCTCAGGTGAAATTTTCCAGTGCCAGTGACACCCATGAGGCTGCTGAAATACATGGTGAATTTTTGTGAAATCCTGTGTTAGATAGCTCAATCTTTTTGTTCTGGGAGCCCTTTCAAAATCTAGCTATGATTTTTGATTCCCATGATAATGGACCATGAGATTTTTTACATCGTAGAAATTCCTCACAGTTTGTAGCACTTTTTTTTAAAAAAACAAACTCTTAAAATATTCTTGGGCATTAAGGTATTCCTGCAGAAAATGCAGCAATTGCTCATGAAAGAATGGAAGACTAGAACAAAATTTGAATTTAAGCTAGTGCATAACAGCCCATTTCAGATGTCTTGATTGATGCTGTTAAAATGTAATGTAATTAATGGGTGAAAACAAGAGGAAAGAAGAGTGAAACAACCAGCTGATTCGTCACAGACCTCTACAAAATTCTTAGTAATTTTCATTTCAAGAACTGGTACAACACTACAATCTCAATCTTTATCTGTTATGAACATGCATTTTCTTTCCTCAAGGGAATATATGCCTAGGGATCTAAAACAAGGTGACACTCCCAGTAAAGCAGATTACTGAATTTTCTGATCCTAGTGTACTTTTTTAATTGTACACTGAATTAATATTTTAATATCTGGCTGGAAACCACCTTTTAAATCTTGGCTTTTATGATTTATATTACACCAGAATCCCTAGTCTGCTATTAAAAAAAAGTTACTTGTTACATTTTTTTATATATAATGGACTTAAGAGAGTAGATACTATTGATTTTTCAGCCAAGAGTCTATGTAATTAATGATGCATCTATATCCATATATATACAAACAGTAGCCTTCTCATATTTAATCCTTGAAAGCTACTAGGGTAGCACATTTTGCAGTGGTTATAAAGAATTTAGACAGGAAGATCATTGAATAGTTATTTGATAGCCAAATCTTTTTAAATACTTCATCACTTTTATTAAAGTTCTGAATTCAAGTGGAAAAACAATTTCTTTGGCTTTAATAATCACTGGAAAGGAAAAACAGAGGGGAAAAAGATATTTTTTGCCTGACAGAATACTACATTTGTGGTGGAAGAAAGAAAAAACGAAGAAGTTGTGTTGTCTTTGGCCCAATGCTTTAACTGCAAATCGATTTGTAGAATAAAATAAGTCCTTTCTGATGGTCTTTTGCCATTGCTGTGGGGGCTATTCAGATGACATACTTCATGAAGAAAGACTGCACCTGCTAAATGTCTGAAAAGAGTTTTTATCCATGTTCACTATTGTAGGGGTTGCCCTGATTAAGTTGAATCATGAGGTCAGCAAGACCTTCCTGTTTAAATTCTGTTTCTCTGTAGTTCTGGACCAGCACTTTGATTCCAAACAGATGCATGGAGACACTCAACAAACAGGGTGCTGGGCTGGAGCACAGGCACACAAAGGTAGTTCTGATGAGTTTATTTAGCAGTGGAATGAGATCAAGATCTGAAGTGCTGCAGGGCATGGTCATGCTTCACTCTCAGGAACAAGTACTGCCAAAGAAGGTTCAAAGAGCCATGTTTACAACTGTGGAACAAGCTCCCTGTTGATTTCAATATCTGACATTACACAGATATGCAAACTCAATATAATTTGTTCCATCTGTCCCTCCTCATTACTATCTGTAGCAGCAGCACTAGTATTCCCTTCTCCCAACATGTTACAGTTCTACTGTGTGACTGCAGTGAGGACCAAGCAGGAACAGAGAAGGAGCAATTAAAAACCAAGTTATCTTGAACTTTCTGACTTACCATAATACACTGGAGTAGTGATGGACTGTGTAATTTTTTCCTGCTGTGAGTTGCTTCAGGTGAAAGCAGTTGAAAGACAGAAAGAGTAGTTTTTCTTCCCAAAGCTATAAAAACAAGTGAATGTTACAGGTATAGCTTCAGCTTGGGAGATCCTGGAATCCCTGTGTCTTCTGGACACTGTCATGCTCTTCTGTATGCTGGCAGGTACAGCTGACTTTTTATTATTCTGCAAAGATATTATTATATTGTTGTGCAGGCTTTTTACAGAAAGTTAAATTAGCCACTGCAGTTAGTTCTCTGTAAACACCCACTGCTGGAGATCCAAAGCTCCATAAAATTGTGCTGTATTCTTTCTGATACCAGCATTTTCTGGAAGTGTTGCTCACAGGAATGAAAATGTCCCAAAACACAGAAGTACATTTATTCAGAAAGACTGGAAGTAATTTGGTTGCAGAATTTCAGAGATGCTGGAGGAATCAGGCTGCCCAGAAGGAATTGACTTAACATATTTTTTAGACTTATGGGAAAAGAGGAAATTAGCTATCAACCAATTGAATTACCATGTTATACCATCCTCTTTCCTTCATTCAGTTTACCTTCAGGACTACTCAGAACTGCAACAATATTAATTTTCTGTTAAGTTTGATTACAGACTAAAACCTGTCATTATACACTAAAAGATTCTTTCCTTTGGACTGTTCGAGCTACTTTATAACCATGGCAAGTCTTACCAGCACATTATCATCTGTCATTTATCACATATCCATAACTCTCGACTTGATGCATTTCAGATTTTACATTTCATTTTGATTCCATGCATTGACACTTCCCAAAAAATCACTCGGTCCTGGTCCCTTTTTATGAGGTCCTTCATTATACACGTTATGTACCAGACTTTACCTAGTGCTTTTACTAAAATGTAAACAGCAGGTTTCCCTCTCTGTATTAAACAGACTCATGCTCCCTCGTTTCTTGTTGGTAAAAGTGTTCCTGTCAGGGAGGTCTTTATTCTCAATTTCTTCCTCTTTTTTTTTCTCTTCAAGTATATTATCTCTCTATGCTGGGTATTTTGGTGTACTGACTTCTAGTGGATAATGAACTGTGATTTTCTCCCTGGTGACAGTTGTATAAACCTTCCCTTCCATGGCATCTGCCAGTTAGAAAACGCTAATGGATTTTGTATTTTTTTTCTCAGTAGCACTTAGACTGTAAAGTACCAGCAAAGACATTAACTTGCAGATCCAGAAAGAAATGAAAACACTATAAAGACACTGTGCCAAATTTGGTGTCAGCGATTCAACAGGGTTGTTTAAAAGTTGCAGGAGATGTAGATAAAAACTGTAAGAATAAACAAAGGGCTGAAAACCATGCTTTATAGAGGATGGTGTGAGGTGCTCAATTTACATACACAAGGAAGAAAGTTGGAGGTATACACTGAACTTAGGTCCACCAGGAACAATTAACTCAGATTATTTGACCTGTGAATCAGAAGACATTCAAATTACCCAATTTCCTCAAATGAAGGCCAAAGCCTTTTCCTAGCCAAGGTAGATAATTCAGTCTTCAAAAGGTGTGTGAATAGTCAAATTTCTGAGTGATGTGTCTGCAGTGGGAAGGAAGGTGAGTGGTTCCATTGACAGGTCTGAAGGAGGGGATGCCATTCCAGAGGGACATGGACAGACCAGGGGAGGGGTCCAGGAGAACCTCATGAAGTTCAACGTCCAAGTGCAGGGTGTTGTGCCTGGATTGGGACTATCCTAGATATGAGTTCAGACTGGGAGATGAACTCACTGAGAGCAGCCCTGTGGAGAAGGGCTTTTTAGGGGTTCTTGAGGATAAAAACCTGGACATGAATCAACAGTGAATGTTTGCAGCTCAGAAGACCAATCATGTCCTAGGCTGCATCAGAAGCAGCATGGCCAGCAGCTTGAGGGAGGGGATTCTGCCTCTCTGTTTTGCTCTGGTGAGGCCCCACCAGGAGTGCTGCAGCAGGTCTGGGGTCTTCAGCACAAGAATGAATGGACCTATTGGAGTGAGTCTAGATGAGGGCCACAGAAACGACCAGAGGGCTGGAGCACCTCTCCTACAAAGACAGGCTGAGAGTTGGAGTTTTTCAGCCTGGAAAAGAGAAGGTTCTGGGGGAGATCTCATTTCAGTACCTTAAGGGGGCTTATGAAAAGGAGGGAGAAGGATTTTTTATATGGGCAGATAGTGACAGGGCAAGGGGAAATGGTTTTAAACTAAAAGAGGACAGGCTCAGATTAGATGTTAGGAAGAAATTCTTTACTCAGGGGTGATGAGGCACTGGAACAGGTTGCCCAGAGAAGTGGGCAGGATGTCCCATCCCAGTAAGTGTTCAAGGCCAGGTTGGATGGGGCTCTGAGAAACCTGATCTAATGAGTGGCACCTGTATCCCTGGCAGGGGAGCTTGATATATATGATCTTCGAGTCCCTTCCAACTCAAACCACCCTATGATTTTATGATTATATGATTCTGTGAAATGAAAATTTCCCAGATAAATTAAACCAAGATGATTCCAATGGATTAGATGTATCTTCTAGTGCACCAGAAAGCCAAGAAATTGAATGAATTAACCTTAAGCTCCATCACCATGACAAGGAGGCATGCCAGCCACTGATGCCTCAGAGGGAGATGAAAAAACAAACAAACAAAACCAGAAGGAAGTTTTTTTCCTGACCCTCTGTAAAGAGTTAATTGAAAACCATACACTCTGATTAACATAATTACATTAAAACTTAAGCATTATAAGACTATTGAGATAATAGAAGGGATACTGAAGTCAGATCACAAAAAAGAAATGGAATGAAGAGACAGAAATGGGATGAGATTTCATCGTTCATAAAGAAGAGGATGAAATTTGGATTTATTGACAGTTAGAAAGAACAACTATGCAGACAGGCTGTCCTGAAGCCAAAAATGTCTCTGTGAGGTTGCATAAGAAGTGCATTTTTAAAAATACAGACTGTAAAGCACAAATCTATTTTTTGATAAACCTTTCCACTTTATCATAGAATTGAATTTTTTTGATTTCTACTGCTGGACACCGATCTTTGCAATAACAATAATGAAAATATTGCTAAATGTCTTTTGTCCAACATTTGCATCCTGTATCACAACTAGATTGATGAAGTACCTCAACTTTTTTAAGGCACAGAATATAACCAACTACTTCAACAACATCACAATCCCAATAAGGCTGATTTTCAAGTTCTCTGATCACATTTTTGGCTCTTCATTTTAATCTTCTCTTCACCTTTCTAGCTGTGATTTCCATATCTGTACGTAGCAACCAGCTGTGGAAGCTGTATTTGTTCATGCTGGCATATGAAATATTTTATCAGCTACTGTCAGTCTGCCACATAAGGGTGAAATATGGATCATACAGTTATTAACGTAGGAAAAGATGAACTAGTTGTTTGTTAAGAATGATGGTGTTTGAGCATTTCAACAGTTTAATTGAAGATGTGATAAGTTCTTTATCAACAGAAATAGTGTGGGCAAGGTTCAATGAGTGTCTTCACAGAGCACTCTTGTTCCCCTTGCACTGTGGAGGAGAAGATAGCAGTGGAGCTTTCCAGCTTTATAATTTGTGAGACAAAGCCTTCAGGACCTTGTACTGACTGCTCTGTGCAGATGGCAGCCCTGTGCTGATGGCATAGAAGAACAAATCTCTCTCTCTGTGATAGGCAAAGGAGGCTGAGGTCCTCTACTAGATGAAGGGCAGTCCCTCTCCTCTTCTGCTTTCTTGTAGACACTTTTGTAGCATTTGTATCTGTGGGTCTGCCAAATTCTCTACAAATGGGTGATACCTGGACCTGTATAAGTGAAACACAAATTTATTTTTGGTGTTTTTTTATGAAGTGATTTGTAATCACTGTGAGCACTGCAAAGGAAGAACAAAATAAGGAATTATCAAGAAATGAAGAGGAAAGAAGGAGACAGGCTACCTAGTGTTTCACAGAATGTTTGTTGATGTGATGAATACAAATGGAAACTATTTGCTTTACAGCAAATTGTGCTCCAAGTGCAACCTGTCTACTTTGTTTGCCTGTCACTGCAGCTGTAGCTGTCTGCCAAGCTAACTGGTAAGTAGGATAATTTTGAAATATTTTACTTCGATAATAATCTAGTTTGTGCAAGGGGGACAATGAGCTGACATGTTAAAAAATGTTGTGATGAGATACTAATTTCCAGTGGACAACTGGGACTTAAAATCCTTGAGAAGATACATGCTTCAGAAACCTAGAGATTTGGACACTCTTTTTCTGCCTCCTTCAAGACATAGAATATGTCTATTCTCATATTTCTCATATTTTTCTAACAACAGTTACAAACAAAAAGCAAGTCTTCCAAAACAAGTCTTTTTTGACTTGTGCTCTCGATTTTATATATTCCTTTCCTCCTCAAGAACAGAGAGCATGAGATTCCCTGTCTCACATGGGTTTTATTTTCAGGATCTTCTGCTCCCAAAGACTTGTGCAAGCAGGAGACCACAGGCACTCATGTTCTTCATTCAGGAAGCTCCACTTATTTCTCATTTGTTTGGCTGAATCAATAAGCAGTAATTGCTGGGATTTTTGTAGATCCAAGGCCTCAACTTGCCCTCACTTAGAAGGTTTACTTTAAAGAGTTTTAGTAAAATTCCTAAAATTTTATCTGCTTCATTCTACAGAGTAAAGAGATACAAAGAAGGGGGACTAAGAAATAATAAAAAAAACCTGTCAATAAAATTCTGCTTTTGAAATGAATATGTATACACAAGTTGCTTTACTCTCAGTGTAAGGGGACATAAAGGTTTCATCTACTTCCTTTTCATTGTCAAAATGAAGCCATGAAGGTCTGGTGCAACTAAGAGCTGGGCTTTCCAAGTATGCGAATTCAGTCAGTTTGGAAAACGTGTGATTGTAAAACAGCAGAGAGAGACGTGTCTGGATCATTGTTACAAAGTTGAATATTTCATATTTTGATTTATTTAAACTTAATGAACCCCAGAAAGCACTTTTAGTGTTTACTTTTTCCTCATTTGACTCTGATTAACCTTTCTCATGATTCAGATGTCTGACAAATGTGTAGGGCTGCAGGGCTAAGTGCTTTTTCCATGATTGACTTTAATTAAGCTTTCTCTAGGCTTGAAGCCCTTGTAAACTCAGAGAACTTTATTTTAATTGCCTTCTGCCAGATTTACTTATGCTAGACAAATATTATAAATCAAATACAACACTATTAGAAGTATGATGAACTGACTTGCAAAGCAATAATCTGCCATGGTGAAATGCATTACACTCATCAAAAGCGCTGTGATGGGAGAAAAAAAATGACTGATTTCATGGAGGTAACTTCTGGAGCATAAGCAGCTTTTCTTTTTCTGCAGTGTGGGTATGTGAAGACACCAAGTTTCAAAGTATTGTTATTCTTCTCCAGTTTTGATGGTATTACATCATATTCATTCATACCAGAAATTATCAAGTGGATCCTCCAAGAACTTATTTCATGCTTTGGACTCATCAATAGGTCTCTGTTGCAGCTGGTGGAATGAGTCAGTTCAATCTTAATTAGGGGACTTTGTCACCTAAGTCATGGCATTTATGCTCCCTGACTCTGTCCTGAAAGGGTCATCAGGAGAACCAGAAAGACACCAATGCTTGTACAAGTAAATGCTGATTTTATTTTTCAAATTAAGGCACACAAAAACACAGTTTGATGGCTGTTTGCAGGAATATATGAAATATTGTCCATAAATTTTAAGTTCAATGTAAGTTTTATCCAAACTAAGGTTTGTAATCTTTTTTTAGTACTCCCTGTAAAATGGTAGCATATTAAATTGGCTCATGGTTTGGAAACATCCTTTCTATTCAAACAAATGCAAGCCCTGTTTTCATTCTATGTTGCATTGTTATAAATTGAACTGTGAAAGAGTCATTGTGAATAGCACAAATATGTGCTGCACATTTTGGCAGCTTCTCCATTGTATATTATGTTCTGAAGGATCAACTGAGCTATATTTACTTAGCTACACTTCTCCTATACCATCTCCTTGTGTTTGATGGGAAAGGTGTGGCTCCCATACCTGAATTCCACCCAGAGAAAACCTTTTGCATTTGCTGTGGCTGAAATGTTTATCCTTAATAGAAGGAGTTCTGGGGAGCTTTTGCTTGAATGAAGCCTACCAAAACAGTCTTTGGGCTTAATTACAGTATAGCACTGGTCTTGGAATAAGGATCAACCTTTTCCTTCAGTAACCAACAACATGAAAACAGATATTAATAGAGGTTAACCATGATGTCTCAACTGTGATAGCTCTGTGTTTCCTTCCACTTTTTAAGCCTTTTTTAACACAATGTAGAATCTTCTAAATTATAAACAAAACTATTATGAATATGGCTTAGATCAAGTTAATTGCCAAAACTGAATCCTTACACATGAGCCCACAAACAGCGCAAAGAAATGTCTGAATATTTAATCACATTGCATCAATATGATTAAATATTATTAATTTAATCATATTATATTAATATGATTAACATATTCATAAATGTGTGTGTGCAACCATACATTTATATATGCAACTATTTAGAACAACTACTTTATCTGAATACAGATCCTTCACAAAGCAGTAAACTGACTGCTCCATTAGCTGTATTTATCCAGCTAATATGTGTTGCTAAAGCTGTTGCAGCAAAAGGATCTCCATGGGGACCAGCTTTGGCTTAGAAAGAATAATTAAGTTTCTGTACCCTGTTGATACTCAGCTTCCAGGAGTGCTAATAAAAACACTGTACCAAGGTGGCAACTTTCAAATCCCAGCCCAGGACAACAGAACTCCTTAAGCCAATCAAAAGCAAGTGCCAGAGCCTGAGCAAAGCTGTGAAGTCTGGAGGATAACTGTTAGCTTTCCTACATCCTGCAAGGATGGTGGGTTAGCTCCTGAGTCTGACATATTGCTGGTCCTGTTGGAGGACTTCTGAGAATATTCAAGGTAAGCAAGGATTCATGTGGAGAGACGCACAGTGAGGAACTGGTGCACAAAATTGTTTGAAAATATTCCTAGTCCTCTAAATAGTATTGTTTTTTTTCAAAAAATGAAGATATAAACTATTTGATGTGCTGAGGCTTGTTTTATTCTTGTGAGTTTTTGTTTAGTCAGAGTCACAATTATTCATAGGAAAAAAAAATACAGCAATTTCCTAGTTTTAATTAATTCTATTTTACATCCTAACACTTTAACTTGCTCTTGATCAGCTTCTAAGTGATCTGTTTGACATGTCTATCTTTAATTCAGAGTAATTGTCAAATCAGTTTGCAATTTATCAGCAATGTGAAGAGTAACTCTAGCTAGAAAGAGCTATTTTTCTTTTTAGAGTGAAAGTAAGCTATTACAAAGGGCCTGGGAGATTTTAGAAAAATGGTACTGTCATCTGAAATTTCTGAGTGCAAGAACCCCTTCAGATTTCTAGGAAGAATTTTTAGTAATTTCTGCATTCAATAAACATGAAAATTGTCTGACTTGAATGAAAAATGTTCTCTAAACTCCATTGCTTTATTTAGACTTAGAGGAGGGCCCTGCAATCTATTACAAGCTATCCCGTGTGCTTGTTTTGTGGAGCTGTTTTCAGTACCATACTTTTACTGGGTGAGAGTGCTGACAAGTGGTATTGTTCTTAAACAATACTCAGAATTACAAACCAAACAGTAACATGTTTGCCTCAAAATTTCCTTTACATATATTTAAAAAAACTCTGCTTAGCTATTGTAACATCTGAAAAAAGAGCCCTTTCTTTCAGCTTTTTTGCTGTATATAAAATCCCAGGTATATAGAGTCATATCTGTTCTCTATTGACTCATTGTTACTTCTGTGTAATGCTTCTTCCAGCTTCCAGCAGTGAGGACCTTACACGGAAATGTCCTTTTCTAAAACTGATTAAACTACAATCTATGTGCATTTATGTTTCTTCTCCTTCTGTGAAATTAAACAAGAGTTGCAGCTGAGCCAAACATTTTAATGAATTGCAGGTGTACTAGAGAAAATAAGAAGGGCAGAACTAGGATAATTTTGCAATTTCGTGAGGTTGGCCAAAACAAGCATAAAAGTTTTTGTTCAGAAGAAGAAATGAAGGAAATACTTCCTATGAGTGTTTCATTTCAAAGTTTACACAATACAATGTTGTGAATTTTCACAGATTATTTTTTAAATTTGGAATTCACTAATTTCTAATGATTATTAATAATTTTTTTTTTTTTACAGCACAAAACATCACTGGCATAAAACGAAATACAGCAGATTTCTCTAAGTTATATCCTTCACATTTTAGTTGGGACGCTGAGTAGAAAATCAGTTACTCACACAGAGGCTCCCTGGTGGGCAGAGTCTGGTTATTTTCGGGGTCATGAGCACTGGTTATTACTTAAACCATATAACTCAAAAGTCTGCACAGAAAGGATGAGACTCTCTATGCTGGCATTTCCAAAGGCTGAGCAGAGCTGAGTAGGTAGGGCCTATGAGCAGTGTGCTCATGACCCATCTGGTAGGCACTCAGAATACAGGCAGGCAGAAATTCCCTGTGGCACTCACAGTTTGACTTAATATTTGACTTAATATTTGATATTTAGAGGTGATGGGGATTAGCACTATTCCCTCTGCTTCTGTGACCACCATGCTTGCGCCTTCAGTGCAGGCTACCTGTTCTCCTTTTCAATGTTGCCAGCACAATCCCTGTTTCATCCCTGCTGTAAAGTCACCTGTAGCCTGGTACACCCCCCATCAATATGAAATATTGGGAATAAAGGCCCAACAGCATTACTGTGAAAAAGAGCAGTGAAAATGGGTCCCCCCATGCCCCAAGGCCATGTGTTTGTCTTTCATCTGTGGTACTTGGGGCTAGATTGTTCCTTTCTTTCCAGAGGAAAAGCAAAAAGCAAACCCAAACAAACCCCAACCAATCAAACAAAGAAAAAAACCCCAAACAAACAAGACCAAAACCAAACCAAAACAAAACATAAAAAGGGAGAGAAGAAACAGTAAAATAGTGGAGGATCTAAGAAACCCTGCCAAAGGAGGACATGATGAGTACATTGTTTCCAATTAAGCACAAGGATTTTGGAATTTCTTCCTGAAAGCAGTGATTACTTGAAAAAAATGAGAAAATATGAACTTGTTTAAAGCATTTTCTTGTTCCTGGATTAGTGAGTTAAAATAATACTGGTTGTTGTTCTGATTTTGCTCATATGAAAGTTACCTCCATAAAGTAACTTGCCATATTGCTGCAGCTGGCTGCATAATGTCTGTTCCTGTGTTTGTCATTACCAAGCAAAGAGACCTGCCAAATTATTCAAAAGTGTATTGCAGTCCCAGCACCTCTTATTATTCTGTGCGCTCCTTGCTCCTGTTCCTTTCATGTTGTTCTGATACACAGGGATATAATGAAGAAGTTACATAACTAATTAAAGCAGATGTATTTTTAATAAAGACTTTGGATTTGATTTTTTGAGAACTAACAAATTCAATTCTCAAGTGTATCTCAACACTATTTTAAAAAGTGCTTGTTTTATTTGTTTTAGCTTTGGGGAATGCTGTTCCCATATGGATTTTTCCAAAGAAGGTCTAACCTTGGGTTACTTGCACTGAGCGTGGATAAGCCATGACTATTTAAGCATGCTGTCAGATCAGATACAAAGGTGTAACTAATGTAGCCATCAAAGGATCTCTAAAACTGACAGACTGCCACTGCAGGATTTTGTAATCTGTTTTATTCACAACACTATTAAGATGTAATTATAGCTTAATTTTTATCACAAAGTGTATAAATGAAAGCAGTCGCAATTCAGACATGGTGCTTTGATGGAGAGCTCACTGAAATCATTGAAAAGGCTCATGCTGGTTCCACTGATCATGGATGAATATCAAACACCACATGACATCCTACTGTGATTACTTGTTTTAATGAAAAATTTTGTGATTAATTTGTGAAAAATTTGTGGAGATTTATAATGTGTACAGGAAAGAAGGGTTAAGAAAACTAGGAAAAAATATTTGCTATATAAATCAGGGTTTTTCTAGTGTGGGAAGTGGAAGAAGGAAAGACTTGTAAATTTTCTTCTTTTTGAACAGAGATTCCAGGTGAACACCCTCCACTTTCGGATGACTTAATTTTTCAGGTTGGATGGCAGGTGATTTCTTTTACCAGTCTGTATTTCTTTACCAGATCTTGATTTCTTTTCTCCATCTTGTTCTTGTATGAGGTCAGAAGGAAATAATTGAGGAGAAAGGACAGGAAAACTGTATCTAGTTACATTTTGGGATCAGAATTCAAAACCAAAGAGAAAGCTCAATGCATTTTTTCTTGCATGGAAATATTTATAACAAAGATTTCTATAATCACTATTTACATGAAAAATCCTCATTATTAATAGCAGTAGAAGCAGTGGAATTTGAAGAAAAAATTTCCTCCCTAGTCACTTATTAGAAGATAAATCTTTACAAAATTCTGAAATTCAAATTCAAAGAACAGTAAATATGCTTAGTTTTGAGTTGCTTTCTGTTTCTTTTTTATGTATTCAAAATGTTCATCTGCATTGGAAAGCTTGGTCTCAAATAACTACTTTTCCATAATACACACTTTTTAGACAGCATACTTTCAGATTTTGCAAACTGAGCCCAGGATTAATTTACTTTCCCCTCTTTTAAACCCTCACATGTCTCTCTGCATCCCTACCCCTGCTATGATCTGTTTGACTGGAGCATTGAATTTCTTGCTCACAGGGAAAGAAGCTGGAATGAGATTAGACTTGGTCAGTAGTGACTGGTAATGTATGGAGAAACACAAGCACTTCCTTTCTCAATGGGAACAACTTGTTGACATTGCTTGTATTGTTCCTTGCTTGTATTGAGCAAGGATTTCCACTTTTTGACCATGGAGCTAGCTGTCTTTTCTTTATCCTGTGGTTGTCTAAACTTGGAAATGCCAAGTGATGGAGTGATGATCAATGGGGATTGCTGTAGGCAATCTCCATGTACACACACACGTGAGTGTGTAGCTCCCATGCACCGACACAGAATAAAAACACCCTGAAGCTTCAGGTACTTTTTACTGGTGAAATAGCTGCAGGATGACCAAGATGAATCAAATTACTTGAAAGAACAAAAGTTCAGGGAAACAGGCACAGCAATAATCCCTGTGATTTATGAGCAGCTTGAAGGATTTACCACATTCTTGCATGGGTTCACAGGATAATTTTGCTTTGGTCACTGCCTTCTGACTCACCATGAGAACTAATTTACAAACTTGAGATATCTGAATCTTAAATTATTTTGTTTATTATTCATGATGAATAGAAAATCATTATACTAACATTCTCTTATTTTTATTTAAGGTTTAAGATTGACTGAAAATGAAAATTTTTAAGGTAAGTGGCCAAGTTGTCCAAAACTTGGCATATATTGTTTTCTTCTGTTTGCAATTACCAACATTGTCTTTCAGCCTTTTCTAATTTTAGCTTTGTTTTTTTTATCCCAGCTCTTCAGATATGCAACAGCCTAATTTTCCAAACAAAGGAAAACTTCAAATTCTTATAAAATTTGATGTCCTCTTCCCGGCTACAGCTGAAATTTCTCCATTATTGATGTTACTAAACATTGTTCTTTTCTTTTTCCCACCTACCTTTGCTTTCTGCTGTTCCTTGCACATTGGAAGGTGTGTTGATCAGCACCAGGACAGGAAATATGTGCAGGGAAATGGTAAAAAAAGACACTCAGATGTCTCTGAAATATTTTGGAAATTCTGTAGCAGGAACACATATGTCACCTTCTGCCATAAGTATAAATTGCTTCAGCTCATTTCCTAGTTGAAGTGTGAGTTGTATTAATAAGGAGCAGGTTTAAAATTCTCATTCTTTTTTTAAAGGTCAGTCAGCACATACAAGTAGCATACCAATAACAGGAGTTAATAATTTAGCTATCAGAAGATAAAAAACATTAACTCACTTGAAAGACAGGGACAGCATCACACTGACAACCGTTTTCCTTGGGAAAGCTATATTAAATTTTCATGTGGGTCCAGCTACCACAACCAAGAGGTTGAATGAAATGTGAACCTGCAATCATATAAAATACTTCCTGATAAGTTCGTGTGTATCCTGTGATAATTTCATACATTTGTGGTAGATGAAAGGCACTCTGCACATCCTTCATTAAGGGATAGCAGCCTTTAGTTTACCAGCCTATACTGGAGAACTGACAGCAACTTCACAACTCAGTTTTCCTCCTGATAATTTATTTTTCCTGTGTTCAAAGAATGTCTTGATAACTCCTCCCCTCTGGTGTGACAGGATTGAGTAACACAGCCACTTTGTCAATGTTTGGACAAAAGTGACAAGACCTCTTAAATTGTACAGCTCTTGGAAAAGAAACTATGGATTACTTATTTTCATTTTCTTTCCATTTCAGGAACTGGTCTGAAAGACTGAGAGTAAATATTTTTATTCATTAATAGTACACTGCCTGTTTGGCTTAGTCAAAGGTTTCTTTGGTTAGTATTTTTTAAATCAGTTTAGAAACCCTCTTTTCAGAAGGTGCTAAATACTGGTTGAAAAATAGATCAAGAAAGGTATTTGAAGCCATAGATGTCCAAAATGTAAAACAGAAATCCTGAAAGATAAAGGCTAGTTTTCTGGAGCTACCTCAAAATCTATGTGACAAACAGGAGAGTTGATTTTTTGCAATACAGAGCATCACATGGTTATCATTTACCTGCCTGCTGTCATCTGTTCCAGTAGTGAAACTTATTCCTTGGATGGGTCAGGCAGCAATACTGACATTGCTCCCTACAAAAATAGCATGTTTAAAACCCAGCTTTCATAGGAGTCCTGTCAGCTTCCTGCAATTTACATTCCCAGCCATCCTTGGCAATAATAAAGCCAATTCTCTTTTCAGGGGTAATAATAATAATGGTAATAACAAAGTAACAACTACAACAATAATAATAATTTTCTTTTCAATTCAAATCATGACATAAAACTTTCCAGAATAGTCACAAACCCTTCAAGAAGTGATGACTTTAGGGAACTTTATTTGGCATGGAAGTTGAGACTATGTTGAGAGGAAAATACGATGGTAAGAAAATGAGAAAGCAATTGAAAACACTGCATGACAACCTAGACGTGTGCAAAATGCACCAGTGACTAATTATGGGTGTGAGCTTATCCAGAGCAAGCAGAAACTGAAAGCTTTCCCTTTGGTGATTTGCTTGCATGTGTGACTGCAAGGACCTGGCTTCATGTATCCCCCTGTAGTGGTCACTTAGTCCTCAAAGGACTGGGTCAAAATCCCCTTCCCATTCTGTCCTTGTGCCACTGCTTACCCATGAACACTGGCTTGTGCAGTGGGTGCTGCACTGAACAGAGCTCCTCATATTTCCCCCCATAAAACCAACTGCTGATTCACCTTGAACTCTGCCCAGGGGATGAGTGGGATAACTTTAATATACTGTGCTTTTCCACACCAACAAGTATTATCTGCAGTGGGAAGAGTGATGTGCAAGAATGAAGTGGGAATGACTGTGTTTCCTGAAAACAAAAACCTGCTGTGAAGGAAGTGTTTAAAACGTGTAGAAGGGCACTGTCAAATTACCAAGACTCGCTACTGCATCTATTATAAAATTATAATAATACAGAGGGGACTTCTTTCTGCTAAGGAAATTACTTACTATATTGCTAATAATTAAAGAAAAATAAAAACCATATGACAGACTCAACAATTCAAGCACCTAATAAGCTTTGATAAATGGCTTCCATAGAGCTTGTGCAAATACAGATTAACTTTAAAAATGCTATTATCCCCAGCAGACAGATGTTCAACTACTGAAGTTGAGAGACAATTACGGATAGTAGATTGCATATCGAGTGGTACTGAAGGGCTGTCAGTGAAG